TATCTATCTATCTATCTATCTATCTATCTATCTATCTATCTATCTATCTATCTATCTATCTATCTATCTATCTATCTATCTATCTATTTTAATTCTTACTGCATGGTTTTTTTTTTTACATTATTTTTTACATTTACATGCTTAGACAGTTTGGCCAATATGCAAGTATATACTGGATGCAGCTCAGGTGTTAGTGGGTTGCTTACTATTGATCTACAGGATGATGACAATAAGGGGTGCAGCATATATCAAAAGGTCCAAAGTACAACAGCTACACACAGCAAAGTGACACAGGGTGCCAGACGTGTTTACACAGTAATATCCTCTGCTTGCTTGTAGAAGCCACCTGTGTCCCTCAAGTCAAATGGTTCTTGGGTGACTCACCTTTTCCAAACAGCAAACAGCATCCATGAGTCACCCTATCATTCATTTGACACTTTTACATTGAAATTCAGTGGATGATAGACATCTAAGTTTATCCAAACTGCTTGATTATTTAACAGTTTGGAAAAGATTGGTGAATACGAAAAGCAGTTGTGTCATTTCCTGAACTAAGCCCACAGACAAATTACATCTCACTCATCAATACGCTCATTATTTGACATCTCAGGTTGGATTACTGGTCATTAGGTTGATCATTGTTTGCATTGTACAAATTGTAACAAGCTTGCATGATGAAAATAATCGTTTCTCACTTGCACGTCAAACTGGCACTTTCTGCTTTTTTCTCTGTTCTTTCTGTTTTTTTCATCTAGGTCAGTTTTCAAACAGACACTGGCTTTGAAAGTCAGGCTCCCACACATCTCGCTCTTTCTCGCAGTCTCTCTTTCTCTTGCCTTGTCCTGATTATGATAATGCAGGGTAGAAAAACAGAATACATTCAAAGCGGCTGCACTGCTGAACATAGGGTCTTATCAAGGAGTACATACAATTATAGAGGCATAATGTGAGGTTAAAGGTTTCCAGGGAATACACGATGAAAAGTCTTTTTTTTTCTGCAAGCTGTTACTTAGTGTATTGTAAAACTATAGAGCAGTAAATTTTCAAAAAACAAAAGCACAAAGGTTGTTTCCATCTTTGAATTATTGATAATGTTTGGTTTCACTTTTTTAAAAAGCCGGACCTTGTTTCAAAGGTGATGTAAGCTGCAGTTCATCCACCCACCAGTTACATCAGAGGCTCTGGACTGAGTGTAACAAAAGTGAGACAGGCACAGAACAGAGAGGTAAAAATTCAGTGCAGGGATTAGTGCAATAACAAATGATATTCAGTTTGAACGTGCCATTAAAAATGGAGTTAAAACTGGGTCAGGCTTTTCAATTTAAACAAAAGAACAAAAGAAATTTTTACTCTAAGGTCTGTGCAACGTGTGTTAGCACTTTGTCTGTGCTAACTTTTTCCAAATAAAGAAAGGCTTTATTTGGAAATAAAGCCTTTCTTATTGCTGCAATGCAACTCATGAATGCAGCAGCCGTGCACACTGGGAAATTGACAGTTATTGTTTGAGAGGAACGAAATTATTGGTTCAACAAAAATCTGACTGTAGAATAAAAACAAATTGTTCTAAATGAGACAGATGCGAGAGATAATCTCAAACTAAATTTGGTGTGCTTTTATTAAAGAGTACATATTCTGTTAATTGCTATATTTTTATTCCTGGACTCAGTTAAAATAGGTTTGCATGATCCACAGCTCAAAATAACCCACGCAAGAGTCTTGAGACTTTCTTTTAATTTTTAAGGTGCTCTTGAGCAATAGTTGTCCAACATCCAAACAAGATCTTTCGAGAAACCTGGAAAACTATTCCCAAAGACTACTTAATTACAAGAAAGAATTTGTCAGAGATTTTGAGGCTGTATTGAAGAATAAATGTGGTCATACCAAATATTGACTTTCAAGTTTGTTAAATAGAATAGTACAGTGTTAGAATTTAATGGTGTCTTCTGCAGACTTCATGTTTCAGAGTTCAAAGTAAACTTTACTTAAAAAAAGGTTCAGTTGCTTTGAATGATGCAGGCTCTGCAGCTCTGCAGTTAGCTTTTCATGTAGATTTTTAGTTAACTGTACATCACGCTGTTCTTTGTATTTCTCCAGACCAGCAGAGCGCTCGGGGGCAGATGTTGACATAATCCTGGCACGGCTGAAAAATGTGAAGGCCTTTGAGAGATTCCACCCCAGTTTGCTGCAGCAGATATGCCTGTGCGGATTTTACGAGTGCTTGGAGAAAGGCATCACCAGTAGGTGAAAGCTCTGAAACTAATCTGAGGACAAGACGGTGCATCTATTTTTATTTTATTTTCTCAAACTGGTTTTTTTTTCTTCCCAGTATTTCGACAAGGAGATATTGGCACGTGCTGGTATGCTGTTCTCTCAGGTTCGCTGGATGTAAAGGTGTCTGAGACATCAAGTTATCAGGTATAATTTCACGAGCATTACATAAAGCCCCAGATTAAAATGAAGGCTGATGAAGTAATTGATAATTAAAAGAAATTGCTCTCTTCTTTCATGCGTATCACACAAGATCACACTCATCTTAATCAATCTTAGCTTCACACACTAATGCTCCAAATTTGCACCCAAAGCTGAATTACTCTGTCTGTGAAGATCTCTGTAATTTTGTAAGCAAAGCTCCACCTGAAATTCATCAGACTTGAAAAATAAAAGTTAGATGAGGGAATATTACTGACCATTTGTTAACAGTGGAACTTTGCACACCTTAGCCTATTTGTCTGGGTGCTTACTGGAGTGATATGTTTGTATCTTGTTGAGTGTATGGAGTGCTCAGGAGTTCTCCTTTAACCTTCGAGAGTTGTGCGATCGGCATAAATTCATTTGCTAAGAATATTACATTTGAACTTCACAGCATTCTCATCTAGTTGAAAGTTTTTAATCCCAATGAAGGAATGATCTAAGAGGAATGTGTGTGATGTTGGTGTGTCTCATGTAGGATGCTGTTACTATATGCACACTGGGGACGGGAACGGCCTTTGGGGAGTCAATCCTGGATAACACTCCCCGACATGCTACCATCATTACACGGGAATTCAGTGAGCTCCTACGCATCGAGCAGAGGGAGTTTAGGTCTCTGTGGGAGGTATGTGCCTCGTTTTGCTCCGTCTATACTTGTCGCAGAGTAGAGAAATTATCTGGGTCATTACGATTTGTGGCACATCTCAGATATCAAAGTCTCAAAGTAAGATTTGAAAATGCTATGGAATAAATGTGTCCATAGGAACTAACTTCTCTCATTTTAGTGATAAACAGAAAATTCAGACCGCTTTTGATCATTTGAAGACAAAGCAGCGCCTTATCAGCTGAGTGGGTAGCTCAAAGGCAGCACACGCTGGTTTCCAGTTATCATTTAATTTGTGAGTAACTGAGGGGGCTGCTTAAAGTCAGAGAACAGCCACCTGTCCTAGCTTGTTCTTGTTGCAGCTGAAATGTTAAATCTGAAAACTGTGACGAATTGAGCTGAGTGCTCTCCAGAGCGTAGGTGGTGTACACCACCTGTGGATCAGCGAAGGTTGGGTTATGAATTTATTGTTGGGCCTCTGGAGGAAAAAATCTGTCCAATTCTTTTACTGTAACCTTCTGCTAGTGCTCCGTCTGATTTTGACTTATGAGTGGTTGGTTTATCCCTTTTGACCACTAGATGGAAGTGTAGCTCTGAGGAGAAACTCTCTCTCCAGCCTTGTGTTTTCACTCACACTAGCATCATTTCAGCAGTCATTCAGTGTAAGTATAAAACTGGGCAGTAACATTCAGTATAAAACGTTTAAATACTGTAAATTAAAGACAAACATAATGTTCATGGACCGCTTCAGTCAGAAATATCTCACTCGTCTTTCTGTCTCCTGCTACTGTGAGCCGGTGGGTGCCATGCTGTGTAGAAGTTCCTCTTGTCACTCACCTCCCCCTCAGCTGGGCTGGGTTCCTGAGAGAGAGACAGCCTATTTCCTTTGGGACCAAAGGGCATCAGCGGGTTAAGTTATGGGCTGTGTGTCTGTTCCAGCACACTGACCATCAGAAGCTGTGTGTGGCTGGATACTTTAATTTGGCTGTGTGTATGCTCACGCGGAAGTTCAACGGGGATACACATTTCACCTCTGCCCCCGGGCGACCTCTTCAGTTCGGTTCGTCTCAAATTAGATTTTCGAGCTCCTGTATCTGGTGTCCAGATTGTCTTATCTCACTCTTGGATCTTTCTGGTCTTGTTTGTTACTTAATATAAAGACTCACTGCAAAGTGATGGTGAAGATGCTGTTTGGCGCATGAAGATAAACAGATACTATTTTTTCGAGGCTTCTGATTTTTTTAAATTAATGAGTGTCTATATTTGGAAAGAGTTTCCCACAGCACCAGTTTCAAACTCAGGTTTGTGAAGGGCGTCACACCCGTGATAGATACATTCCTTAGATAATGGCACTGAAATGCTTTCTGCTCAACCTTGGTCCTCTTTGTTGCTTGTTTGACGGTCCATTCTTGTATTTTCTAACTAATAATATTACAGTATAAGTGTTTAAATCTAACTTTAAGACTTGGGCTTGTAAGTATTATTTTGCAGCATCACAGGTACAGCTGTTAAAAGGCAAGGATCTTACCAGGCACTTTTCTGAGTTCTCCAGTGCTCATTATGGTTTTAATGTAGTAAGTTTGCACATGTAATTTTGAGGCTTTTAAGAATTTTCTCAAGGTAATTGGTATTTTTGTATAGAACAAAAAGGATAATGGGTAGTTTAAAGTTGAAGCTCTCTAAATGAGATATGTCCTACGCTGAGATGTCTCCCGTCCTTGCAGTGTTTCTTGTACAGAACTTCATCTAAAAAAAACAGAAAAGTGATTTACAGCATTAGCATCAATACATGGATCTTCTATTGTTAGATGTGCTGAGTTAGCCAGCCTGTACCTGAGCAGCACTGCGGTCAAAATTCACACAATCGAGACAGATGATCATTTCTGTATTTTGCAGTTTGTTGGTCATACAAACAGTTCGCCTGAATGTTCTTCCAGGCATATGTGCTTATTTTTTTCCTCCTAGTTTTACTGCAGTGCTGAACGATTGTTTAAGGTGTATCTTGTTACTGGTGGCATCAGACATCAGACTGTTTGAGCCACTTCTGATGTGCTGTGGTGACCCTAAGTTTCCTGCGTGTCTTGATGGTTGCTTTTGCAGATAAAGCTCAGCTGCTTCACAGGGTCTTAATTTAAGCTGAATTGCATTCTGTGGTGCATGATGAATGTTAAGCTGCATGAGGTCAGTGTTCTTACTGCTTCCAGCCCCTGAAAGATTGGGTGAAAAGAAGAATACAGCTTGATTACAGCTAATGTGAGGAGATGGGAAAAGAGTGATGCTAAAGGAAATATATTACCTGCTCCGGTCTGAGCCAAAGGAAGCATTTAAACAAAGCTACACGCCTCCTCCTTCACCACCTCCTCCTCCACCACCTCCTCCTCCCTACAACACAGAACTGTCCCCTTGCCTTTGGCCAAGCAGTCTTAGAAAATTTTGCAAGAGTGAGAACAACACTAGCTTTATTTATGATTATACTCGTGAATAATTTAGTGTATTTTTTCTGTAGGTGTTTCAATCTTCTGTTTGGAATAATACAGTAAATAAAAGAATTACAGAGAGGTGACAAATTGGATAAACGTAACATAGTAAATGCATTTGGGAAAATACTTTGACGTGCCTTAGCACGTTGATTCTTCAAGTCTCCGGAAGTCACTTGGAGTTATAAAGTACACTCACCATTCACCATTTTCCCATTAGAAGTGCCTCAATTCTTTGTGGAATAGATTCAACAGGGTGCTGGAAGCATTCTTCAGAGATTCTGGTCCATATTGATATGATAGCATCACAAGGTTACACCACCTTTGTTGCCTTCAAATCTATTACATGACATGTTATCCTGCCTAAAAACCACTTATATAAGGCATGATGGATCCATGCTTTCATGTTGTTTACACCAAATCTTTACCCTGCCACCCACTGCATCAGAACTCGACACAGTGTGCCAATTTTGGCTTCAGTTGTCTGTTTACAGCTGACAGGTGTGGCACCTGGTATGGTCTTCTGCTGCTGTGGCCCATCTGCTTCAGTGTTTCATGTGTTGATTATTCAGGGATGCTCCTCTGTATACCTTGGTTGTAATGATTGGTTATTTGTATTACTGTTGTCTTCGTCTCAGCTTGAAGCAGTCTGGCCATTCTTCTCTAACATCTGATATCAACAAGAGTTCTCCTAGAGAACTGCTGCTCAGTCACTGGATATTTTCTCTCTTTCAGACCATTCTCTGTAAATCTTAGAGATTGGTTTGAAGGAAAATCCCAGGAGATCAGCAGTTTCTGAAACTCTCAGACCAAGTCGTCTAGGACCAACAACTGTGACACATTTAGTGTCACTTGACCCACCTTTTGCCCCCATCCTTGACCATGTCTACATTCGCAAATCTAATGAGTCGCCTCCAAATTTGAAAGTCGCAGTAAGGAGCAGTTGAACAGATATACCTAATAAAGTGGCTGGTAAATATATATTATCTCAATTGGTGTTTTGATGATGGTTGTCTTGTGAAATGGTCTTTCAGATGATGATAAATTACGTCAACATCTGGTCCACAGGGGGTCAAAGGTTCAGGTTTTGTCCTTTCATTTTCACCATTTTCACCAGTTCATATAAATAAAGGTTTTCTACACAGAGCTAGTGTTAACAAGACACTTTGCTCCATATTTGTTCCTTAAAATGTTGTATGTCTTGGTGTATGACATCTATGCATATTAAAGCCTGAGCGCCTATGCGTGCAATTTTAATATTTATGTTCTTATGCTGAATCGTCCGAGCACCGAGAGCGCCTTTCATGTAGCTCGGCACGTGACAGAAGCTGTCCGTGTGCTTGTTTGTTTAACATAGCAGACATGAGCCAAGCTCAGCATACACAGGGAGGCTGACTGAAGCATAGACGGCCTGGTCATCAGCTTACTCTTTACTTTGTTTCCTGCTTCCGATGGCCACTGTGATTGAAACAACACAATTGTAATTTGTGCTTGTTGGGTGGCAAGGCGGCTGTATTACAATCACATCAGCCTGGGGGCCACCCGGACAGGAGGCTTTGTTATCTTCTATCAGATCTGACAAAGGGAGTTTTATAGGCATGTGCACACTCAACATATAGTATATTGAGTAAAATGGAATTACAGATGCTTATATGTGTAGTGTTTTCATCCTTAGGGCAGGTCTGTTGGTTGCTGAGCCCAGCAGGGAGGTTGGTATGTCAGTATCATCAGTCTATAGAAGCAACCCGGTGTGCAACCCGTGGAAAAAAGTGATGAATAGGAAGTGGCAGGGATGCAACATGCCCTCTAGAGTCTGAGGACTGGGTAAGGGGGAGGTTGGAAAAATCAGGCCACATATATCCTCTGATAGGAGCGGTCGGTGGATACGTGCAACGAAAGGGCAGGAAGATTGTATCAACATAGTATAATTGCCTTATCTCCGCCCAGAGTTGTTACATCATCGCAAGCCTGCAACATGAATTTCTGTAAAATAAAACAGCACCTGTGAAGCTGCAGCTGCCCTTGCTGATCTTTGTAATCCTATTCAGCTAGACTAGAAGAATTGCTCCGTGGATAGCAATGTGGCTGACTGACTCATCACAGTCATTGTGTCAAGAGGATGAACCCTGTTGACTTTGTTGACACACGTTTATTTTTTATTTTTTTACGGCAAACCAGATTTTACAACCAACTATGATAACACTGCCAGCATGGCTGCTTAGAGCCAAATTGCAAGGCAGAGTAATGCAACCAGCGTCCCCGACCTCAGTTAAGCTTGCAAGTTAAGGCACATAGTCATACAGGTCAAATTTGTGACACGAGAGGAAAATAAGAAAAATGGGATATCTTCTTCTTCCACTGTCTTCATCAGCTACAAAAGATAATTTATGCTATTGCCTGTTCAGTACAAGCCTGTATTAATTCAAATTCAAGATTGTTAAATCAAAATATGATTTGATTTGCAAAATTCTCTTGAAGTTGTTGCAGAATCTAGACCCCTTATTGTTCTCTCGGCTGGATGTGACAGGCTGTCAGATTTGACAG